GGTAGGGGGCGCGCCCAGGGGGGTAGGGCGCGCCCTCCACCCTCGTGGATGGCTCGGGACTGTTCTGGCCCAACTCTTTTACTTCGGGGGCTTCTTTTGGTGCATAAAAAATCCACAAAAATTGGCATGTCAATTGGACTCTGTTTGGTATTCCTTTTCTGTAAATAAAACTCAAAAACAAGGAAAAAACAAAAACTGGCATTGGGCTCTAGGTTAATAGGTTAGTCCCAGAAATCATATAAAATATCATATAAATGCATATAAAACATCCAAGATTGATAATATAATAGCATGGAACAATCAAAAATTATAGATACATTGGAGACGTATCAGGTAGCATTCCACATCAAAAAAATCTGTTTTTATCATTTAACTACTCGAGGATGAGTAGGAATTAAGCTTGGGGATGCTTGATACGTCTCCAACGTATCTATAATTTTTTTATTGTTCCATGCTATTATATTATCTGTTTTGGATGTTTTATATGCATTATTATGCTATTTTATATTATTTTTGGGACTAACCTATTAACCTAGTGTGCAGTGGCAGTTCCTGTTTTTTCCCTGTTTTAGAGTTTCGCAGAAAAGGAATACCAAACGGAGTCCAAACGGAATAAACTTTAGCGATGATCTTTCTTGGACCAGAAGCAAACCAGGAGACTTGGAGATGAAGTCGGAGGAGCCACGACGGTGGAGGGCGCTCCCTGGGGGGTAGGGCACTCCCCCCCTCTCTTGTGGGCCCCTCGTGGTTCTCCTGACCTAATTCTTTCGCCTATATATACTCTTATATGCCCAAACCACCAGAGGCATCCACGAAAATACTTTTCCACTGCCGCAACCTTCTGTACCCGTGAGATCCCATCTAGGGGCATTTTCTGGCGTCCTGCCGCAAGGGGGTTCGATCACGGAGGGCTTCCACATCAACACCACTGCCCTTCCGATGAAGCGTGAGTAGTTTACCTCAGACCTACAGGTCCATAGCTAGTAGCTAGATGGCTTCTTCTCTCTCTTTGATTCTCAATACCATGTTCTCCTTGATGTTCTTGAAGATCTATTCGATGTAATACTTTTGTGCGGTGTGTTTGTCGAGATCCGATGAATTGTGGATTTATTATCAGCTTATCTATAAATATTATTTGAATCTTCTCTAAATTCTTATATGCATGATTTGATATCTTTGTAATTCTCTTCGAACTATCGATTTGGTTTGGCCAATTAGATTGGTTTTTCTTGCAATGAGAGAAGTGCTTAGCATTGGATTCAATCTTGCGGTGTCCTTTCCCAGTGACAGTAGGGACAGCAAGGCACATATTGTATTGTTGCCATCGAGGATAAAAAGATAGGGTTTTCATCCTATTGCTTGAGTTAATTCCTCTACATCATGTCATCTTACTTAATGTGTTACTCCGTTCTTTATTAACTTAATACTCTAGATGCATGCTGGATAGCGGTTGATGTGTGGAGTAATAGTAGTAGATGCAGAATCGTTTCGGTCTACTTGACACGGACGTGATGCCTATATTCATGAGCATTGCCTTAGATATCGTCATAACTTTGCGCTTTTCTATCAATTGCTTGGCAGTAATTTGTTCACTCATCGTATTATTTTCTACCTTGAGAGAAGCCTCTAGTGAAACCTATGCCCCCCCGGGTCTCTTTTCCATCATATAAGTTCTTTTTTCCATCATACAAGTTTCCGATCTACAATATTAGTTTCCGATCTACTATTTTTGTAATCTTTTACTTTCCGATCTATAAACCAAAAATATTAAAAATATTTACTTTATCATTTATCTATCTCTATCAGATCTCACTTTTGCAAGTAACCATGAAGGGATTGAAAACCCCTTTATTGCGTTGGTTGCAAGTTTGTTTCATTCTTTGTGCAGGTATTCTGTGATTTGTGCGTTCTATCCTACTGGATTGATACCTTGGTTCTCAAACTGAGGGAAATACTTATCTCTTCTTTGCTGCATCACCCTTTCCTCTTCAAGGGAAAAACCAACGCAAGCTCAAGAAGTAGCAGGGTTAAGCTTGGGGAGTTGATACGTCTCCATCGTATCTACTTTTCCAAACTCTTTTGCCCTTCTTTTGGACTCTTTTTTGCATGATTTGAATGAAACTAACCTGGACTGACGTTGTTTTCAGCAGAATTGCCATGGTGTTATTTTTGTGCAGAAATAAAAGTTCTCGGTTTGACCTGAAAATTTACGGAGAATATTTTTGGAATATATAAAAAATATTGACGCAAGAATTATCCAGAGGGGGGCCACCTAGAGGCCACAAGCCCTGGGGGGGCGCCCACCCCCCGGGACGCGCACTACAGGCTTGTGGGCCTCCTGGAGCCCTTCCGACCTCAACTCCAACTCTATTTAACCGGGGAGAAAAAAATCAGAGAGAAGGATTCATCACGTTTTATGATATGGAGCCGCCATCGCCTCCCGTTCTTCCTCGGGACGGCTGATCTGGAGTCTGTTTTGGGCTCCGGAGAGGGGAATCCGTCGCCATCATCATCATCATCAACCTTCATCCATTGCCAATTCCATGATGCTCACTGTCGGGAGTGAGTAATTCCTTCGTAGGCTCGCTGGTCGGTGATGGATGAGATTTACCATGTAATCGAGTTAGTTTTATTAAGGTTTGATCCCTAGTATCCACTATGTTCTGAGATTGATGTTGCTATGACTTTGCTATGCTTAATGCTTGTCACTAGGGCCCGAGTGCCATGAATTCATATTTGAACCCTTTATGTTTCCATGAGTATATGTGTGTTCTCGATCCGATCTTGCAAGTTGTATACACCTATTATGAGTTATGATCCGCATACCCCAAGGTGACAATAATTGGAATTCTTTCTGGTGATGATCGTAGTTTGAGGAGTTCATGTATTCACTAAGTGCTAATGCTTTGTTTCGGTTTTTTATGAAAAGGAGGCCTTAATATCCCTTAGTTTCCTTATGGACCACGCCGCCACGGGAGGGTAGGACAAAAGATGTCATGCAAGTTCTTTTCCATAAGCACGTATGACTATATACGAAATACATGACTACGTTATATTGATGAATTGGAGCTAGTTTTGTGTCATCCTATGTTATGACTGTTGCATGATGAATGCCATTCGACATAATTATCCATCACTGATCCAATGCCTACGAGCTTTTCACATATTGATCTTTGCTAAGTTACTTTCACCGTGCTACTGTCACAATTGCTACAAAACTGCTACTGTTACTGTTACCACTCTACCGTTACTATCATACTACTTCGCTACTAAATACTTTGCTGCAGATATTAAGTCTTTCAGGCGTTGTTGAATTGATAACTCAGCTACTAATACTCGCGAATATTTTTTGGCTCCCCTTGTGTCGAATCAATAAATTTGGGTTGAATACTCTACCCTCGAAAACTGTTGCGATCCCCAATACTTGTGGGTTATCACTGATCGACTACATGCATCACCAACCTACTTTCGCCGCGGTGACTGCGCGTCTAGTGGTAAACCGGAGCCTGTAATCTATCCCCAGCAGCATGATCTTGGTTGCGCGATTGGATTTTTTTATTAATCGCTAGAGTAGCGTATCGTGTGTCCCAACAGTATGCCGGTCTATATTGCTATCAAGTCAACTACACAAGCCCACTACTCCCATTAATCCTCTCAACACTCTCGTAGCCGCTCACGATTCCTCGTCTTTCTCACTCGGGAAACCCTCTTCAACTACGTTCAAATCACTCATCTTCACACATGCTCATTTCACATCACATCCTCTGTAACAATCTTGCCTCTTTCACTGAAAGACATCCTAGCAATGTAAAAAATGTAGCCCTCCGATCCATTGAGTTTCTAAATTGCTCTATCCCCAACAAATTTTTTGAGGCATTCACAAAACACCTCCACCTACTCCTAAAAAACCTTAAGAGTCCTAGATGCGGGTGGGGGATGACCCTACACAAACATCAATAGCACCGACTGTATGAAATCTGTATCCTCCTTTCTAGTTCTTCCCAAGCTTAGATGGAGGCAAGATTTAAAAAACCATGCACAACATCAAATCTCACACCTCACGAATGTACAACCCAACCATGAGGGATATCAAACGTATAATGTATCCCTATTTTGCTCTCAGGGTCTTAACTCACTACTGGAAACAGTGAATTTGCCATCAGCCAGCTCTTTGCCATCTGCCAGCTGATGACAAAGAACGTCTTTGCCATCTGCTTAGCTTTCATTTTGATAGGGTGGTTGAATTTGTGACTACGTCAAATGATTGTTCCACTCAAATTAACGTGTAGTTAAGAGAAGAGTACACGTTATCTAGGAAAGAGTAGTGCGAGTGACGCGTTAGGAAAATCTATGCACGTTGATGTTGTATCCATGCAAAAGACGTATGCCACCAAGGGACAAATTTGCCGAGCTACCCAATTACCCTCCTCCATAGCGAGGTGGTTCCTTGGGATGCGAGACAAAACTTTATGCAATTCAAGATAGGATAAATAAAGGGCAAATTACCGCGCTTCTATATAAACTACTTCCTCCGTCCCATAATGTAAGATTAGGGAGTACATGTTTGCATGCCTATGAAATAAGATTTTTTTTTCAGAGTTGAGAACGAAAAATATTGCTGGTGTGCAGGGAGAAGGGATGGAATCTTTGTGTTTTTTTGGATGAGAAAAAAAAAGAATGAATCGCAAACCAAAGTTGTGGACTCATAAATCGAAACTGACCGCAGCCATCCGATCAGCATCCAAAGGCGAGGATACGGGCCACGCTGCATATTTTGCAAAAACACTCTCTTCCCCAGCCTGCCCGCCCCCATCCGATTCCCCAATCCCTCTCTCACTCCGATTCGGGCGGGGCCCAAACCCTAGGTCGCCGGCTCCTCCCGAAGCGAGTCTAGCTGATCCGTTTGTTCTGCACAAGCTCTGCCGTGTTCCGCCGCTGTTTCCTCTTTAGAGGAGGAAGAAGAAGAAAGAGAGGGATCTGGTCGACTGCCGTCGGCGGCGATGGGCGACGGCCGCGGCGGAGGGTCAAACCGCCCCGCGTGGCTGCAGCAGTACGAGCTGGTGGGGAAGATCGGCGAGGGCACCTACGGCCTCGTCTTCCTCGCGCGCCTCAAGCCAACGCATCCCCAGGCTGCTGGCCGCCGCGGCTCCCCCATCGCCATCAAGAAGTTCAAGCAATCCAAGGAGGGCGATGGCGTCTCGCCTACCGCCATCAGAGAGATCATGGTAACTCATCTCCGCCGCCGGTTGCTTCATTCCTTCGTGGCGTTCCAGACCCTGGCCATATAGGAATGTAATCTCTCTCCCTACGCTTGCCCTTTGACTGCAGCTCCTGCGCGAGATCAACCACGAAAATGTCGTCAAGCTCGTCAACGTCCACATCAACCACGCCGACATGTCCCTCTATCTCGCCTTCGATTACGCCGAGCATGACCTCTATGTATGCAACTCCCATCCCCTGCTTATATGTGCCTTTTTCATTCCTGTCGACCTCTTGGTATGAAATTCAAATCCAACTCTCTCGATGGAATAATTAATTAACGAAGCACTGCTCTATCCGCAGGAGGTTATTCGGCATCACAGAGAGAAGCTTAACCTCTCCATTAACCAATACACAGTTAAATCCTTGCTCTGGCAACTGCTCAATGGCCTCAACTATCTCCATAGGTATGTCTATATATATTTTCTATTAACAATTCGAGCAGCATGATTCTCCACAAGCTGATGTCTTCACTGTAAATATATGCAATGTTTATCTGGATCAATCCTATCAAAATCTGATCTATCCTACCTGTCTCCCCTCCTGCAGTAACTGGATTATCCATCGAGACCTCAAGCCTTCTAATATACTGGTATGTTGCTTCATGCCTCACGCTGATACACAAATCTGTCCAGTATTGTCTCTTTTGCTTGCTAAGCATGCTGCAATGGTGTGCCCCAGTAGGTCATGGGAGAAGGAGAAGAACATGGAATTATAAAGATTGCTGATTTTGGTCTGGCTAGGATATATCAAGCTCCACTAAAACCACTAAGTGACAATGGGGTGAGTAGCTCTATCTACATTCCTATTTCAAGTAATATGAGGGAACCAAAGGATGGTACTTTGGTAATGGAATGCAGTCATTCACTCATTCCGCCAAGTTACCACTAGTATTCTCAGGTCCCCACTGTTCTTATAGACTCAAAGCTTATAATTTGCAATTGCATGCAAATATATTATCACACAGTGCACCCATTTTGAATGTTTGAGTTCAGTATCTGAATACAATTTTGGCCGTTGATTGGAGTCCATTGACGGCCTAGGAGGATCCACATTAAATCCCATAATATACCCTCTTAAACCTTCTAAATTTAACTCTAACTGTACATTAATTACGGCATGTGGTAGTATTATTTTGTACAACACTGCTTCATGAATAGTTGAGGTGGTATGGTAGATTTCCGCAGTACTTTTGACACTGCAATTTATTATGCTAATTCCCTGATTTGAAATAAATTTCAGGTTGTTGTAACTATCTGGTATCGTGCACCTGAGCTGTTACTTGGAGCTAAACACTACACAAGTGCTGTTGGTATCCTTGCAGAGAGAGAAAAACAGATCCTTTTACTATCAACTTTTCTTCATTAATTCTGTTATTCTCTTAACCATCTCCAGACATGTGGGCAGTTGGTTGCATTTTTGCCGAATTGCTTACACTGAAACCACTGTTCCAAGGGGTTGAAGCAAAAGCTACTCCAAACCCTTTTCAAGTATGGGCAGTTGCACTCAGTTAGTTAGTATTGCCATCTTGTTTTTAGATTATATCACTAGACTAAAGTTGTTATATTTTACATGACGATCATGTCTCAAGTAACTTTCCTCCGTTTATGCCATTGGTATATCTCACAGTTGATTTACACGTCTTGTAGCTCGATCAACTAGACAAGATTTTTAAGGTCTTAGGTATGTATTCCTTGTTTTTGCTTGTCTTGTTTGTTTTGTCATGCTCATCAGAAATATACTCACAGTAATAACCCAACTCTTGTGAAGGTCATCCTACGGTCGAGAAGTGGCCTACCCTTGCAAATCTTCCATGCTGGCAAAATGACCAGCAACACATTCAGGGGCATAAGTAGTATGTTGGACATTGTTGAGCTGCTCTAAGAAGGATTAAATATCTCTTTTATTATTACTTAACTTAATATACTGTAATATTTCCCTTGCAGTGAGAACACAGGTCTTCATACTATTGTTCACTTGCCGCAGAAGGGTCCTGCATTTGACCTTCTCTCAAGAATGCTCGAGTATGTCTCTTGCTCTCTAGTTTGTTGGAGTTAACATTACGTTGGTTGATGAACATATTTTTTGTTCTTTTTTGTACTATTATGGTGTTGGTTTATCATCCTAGTATTCCTCATGTTTCAGGTATGACCCTCGAAAGCGTATTACAGCTGCACAAGCTTTGGAGCATGAGTAAATAATTAATACCTTCACCTATTCTTTTTCCCCCTTTCCCGTGTTTGGATGCTTCTGTTTCCATATCTGTATAACTAGTTCTTAGCTGATGCATGCTCTAGACTTGTAGTAAGCTACCTGAATCTAGATGAGCAAGCATCAAAAAGATGCTGCCCCGCAATAGCTATCTGGTGCATATTTTAACTACCTGTCAGACCATTATGCATCCTTATTGGTGCTACCAAATATGAGATCTTTGGAATATGCTACGGTTTCCTTTGTGCTACTAGTAGGGAGACTCTAGCCGCAAAAAGATGCTGCCCCGCAATAGCTATCTGGTGCATATTTTAACTACCTGTCAGACCATTATGCATCCTTATTGGTGCTACCAAATATGAGATCTTTGGAATATGCTACGGTTTCCTTTGTGCTACTAGTAGGGAGACTCTAGCCGCTCCTGTTATGCCACTGTCTAAACCGCCTTACTCTACTCTATTAGGGCATCTCCAAGGCTATCCCCTAAAACAGACACACTATCCGTCCGCGAACCGCGCCCGGACGCGTTTGCGGACATGATACGGGAGCCGGCCGTCCAATGCTATACCTTAAATGTCCGCCCCTATTAACTTTTAAGAATAGCATTCCGTCAAATGCCTCATATTAAGATAACACATGCTAGCCCTTCCGCCAAAATTAAGTGCCTTCCGCCAACATGGAGCAAGCCATTTAGTGGCTTCCGCAAAAGATGCTACCCCTTCCGCCAAAACATGCTATTTAGCACTTAATTACTAGTTAAAGCATGCTAGCCATTTAGTGGCTTCCGCCGAAGATGCTACCCTTCCGCCAAACAGGTTAATTAGTGCTTCCGCCAAACATCTTCACCTTCCGCCAAACAGGAAAAAAATTAGCGGCGGCCTTCCGCCATCCGGACGGAGAGGAGGGATACATGGTGGCTTTTGATTGGCCAGATGGATTTCCGGGCTCCTGCAAAGCCGCATTCAGACATCCGGACGCGTCCGCGGACGTTTGAGGGATAGCACTGGATGGCAAAAGTGCCCGGACTCCCGCAAAGGACATATACGGATGATTTGAGGGTCCGCGTTGGAGATACCCTTAGAAGCAGTCTGGAATTGTTCTTGGAATCATGCTATGTTTTAACCTCAAAATTTCCTTTATTTACATATAAAATGGTTTTTAAACAAGGGGTTGCCTTCTGATTTCCATTATTACAAACCATTAGGAGTTCGTTACAG